TTTCAATAATCCATTATTTTGTGTGATTCAAAGAGATCCATAATTTTGTTAAATATAATTGTTTTGATGTTAATTTGAGTCATTATAGCAAAGATTTTCTATAAATTTACTCAAATGTTGATTATATTATATCCTCTATAACACCATAAGTTAACAATTTTTCCATTTCTTAAGTAACTATTTACTCGTCTGAATATTGTCTCAAAATATCTGAATTGCAAAGATTTTTCCAATTTTTTAAATCAAACAAACCATTTGTTTTTAAAATACAAATCTAGTCTTAAATATGACTCAATCAGAAACTAATTGACCTCTTTGTACACTATTCATAAACACTAAATTCATTTTTAATTTCAATAATACTGCCTTCAAATATTTTAACATTCATTTAATATTCATACATACACTTTATCCCGTATTTTTAATTTCCTTTAATGTCAAATTTTAAATAAACCTTGCGTAGTTGTATTTTTCAAATTGAATTTATCCCACTATCTAACATAGGGTACTTTTAGTAATAATCTATAACATGGTAAGTTACTGTTAAATTGAATGTGCCCTATTATTCAGTATAATGTAAATCAAGAGGTCATACAGTTTTTGATAGACGCGTGTATTTAATTTTAAAAATATTATAACTAACTTTATTATGCTTTAAATATCAATCGATTAATTGGTTAGTTTTAAGCCCATTGTCTGTACAAATGTGAATCTCAAGACTGAAATCAAGTAATGGACCCATTATTCTGATTATCAGACATCATTAGCCTTGAAATCATTATTTTGATCAAAAACTCTTACTCTTGCGGTACTTCTAAATCATTTGATCGATTGACTAATCATTTTTGAAATGTTTTATGCAATAAATCTGAGTTAACCATTAGATAGTTTTCTAATTAACCTTTAAATAAAACCAAATTAATGACAACGAAATCTAATTTCAAACACTTAACTGTACCCGTTTCAATTAACAAACTTTTCTGTTAGCAACTTATTTACGAATAGAAATCGATTGCACAATGATTTCATTTTTCCCACATAATAATAACACTAATAATAATCAAATGTTATTACAAAGACTATTGAACCGAATTTCACACTCCAGGCTATATTTGTAATTAAAATTCAATTGTTTATAAAACATTACAGTTAATCACAAAACTGTTTGAAGTGCACCAAATATTTATTACCAGTATAACTTATAAGTTATGTAACAAACACATCATATTGTCCCGACATTAAAAACTTTTCCGGTATTATATTTCTCTCCAATAAATTTTTAATACTTTAATTGAACTGAAATTTCGTGCAAATGTTTGTTAAATATATCTCCTTTTATAAACTAATAAACAGTGTTTTATGCATTCCACTACATTTGTTATTTAATTAAAGTTATAACTTGTTTATTACAATATCTGTATCATAACCTGCAGACCTACCAATACCTTAAATGGTGTTTCCCTTTATTATCTATTTCAGTGGACAGTTAGTAAAGTGGAACCAAATAATACGGCCAACAGAAGGGTCACCGAAACATAAATTCAAACAAAACTATTTTTATTGATCACTAATTTTCAAACAATCATTTCATAAATTGCCACAAAAAAGCAATATTTGAGCTAAAATTCATTTATATATTTACAGACTAAGATATAATCCACTAATTGATAGCAAATAACATAAAGTGAGCCCTATTTGGGATCTCCTCCATCGGTGAAGAAGTTCTCTTCGGCCACCGCATCCTTCTGACCGGTCAAGTAGTCCCTCACATACTTCCACTCTTCGCGTTCAAACCTTATGTGATAGCCATCGACGGGCCGGTAGTACCAGGACTTGTAGTCAGCCCTGTACTTCATGAAATCCCTGACCATTCTCTCGATCTTCTTCATAATCATCTTCTCTGACTCCTCATTCATATAGCAAACGAATCCCTCGTAATCGATGCGCTTGTCGTGGATCACGTATTTGGCAAAGAATCGCGAGATTGGACTCTATATCACACCATTAGACACCATTAGACCATTAGACACATTAGACACCAATATCTCGCGCATCGAGACAATTATCACTCACTTTGTAGTACTCCCAGTGCTTGGGCTCATAGCCATCGGGTATTTCGGTCAACTCAGCCGGTCCTACAGTCACGTTCACGTATGTGGTGATCACTGTCAGCGGAATCACTCCTAACATGATGTAGAAGTGGAGCTGGTCTTTGAATTTGCGCCATTGATATACGGATGGCCTCATTGGGAACTGGCCCTCATGAAAGGCACGGCGGGTCACCACTCCTGATGGACGTCCACCGCTACTCCTAACATGATGTAGAAGTGGAGCTGGTCTTTGAATTTGCGCCATTGATATACGGATGGCCTCATTGGGAACTGGCCCTCATGAAAGGCACGGCGGGTCACCACTCCTGATGGACGTCCACCGCAAACACCATTACATCCTATGCATAGTCACATCAAACCATAAGCCCATCACATGCCCCACAATCACCGCAATACTAGCCATACCTTTGAGTAGTTTGTGGTGAACACCAAACCTATTGAGACCTCTTAGAGCGCTAAAGACAGTCATCTTTGGCCACAAAACCAATGCTTTTCTGAACCACTGTTTACTCAATTGAAAGCGATTTCAATGTTTTGTTCATTCAATTGATGGCAGAAGTGGTGCTCTCTTGAGGCCATCACTCATAGCATTGAATCACTGAATGAATGCATGATTTGTGTCAAACTTATGCTTTCGGCCCAAGAAGTGGTCAATAATTGTCTCATTTTATCATCTCATGGATGGAGTCGAGTGGTGATCACCGGACACAACACCAACTCTTCGTACAGTCAGTTGACAATAGTTTGCAAACTATTTATTTGCCATAAAGAGTGACATCTTTGAGCACATGATTGTCATTATTGTCTCAAAACAAACAAAAATAGAGAGAGAGAGAGACACACACACACAGAGAGAGAGAGAGAGAGAGATTGGGTGGCCGTTGGTTGACGTGACATCTTTGCCAGTGTTTGTCACGTTCGCGACGCCTTTCATTAATTGGTATGTGATATATGTGTGAATCGTTAGACAGCAAGAGAGCCACTCAACAGCACCGGCGAAGAAAGTTAGCCCATTGTTAGCCCATTCACTACCGCTAACAATACAGACATACAATCAATGCAAACATTACGCTCATTATGAACCAAATTTACTGATAATACTACCATTCAATCCATTCCTATAACACTATTATATCTGTTAATTGCATTCATAGTTAATATTAAAATCGTTTTAAATCTAATTGTAGTTAACATACCGTATATGCCATATATTATAAGGTCATATTTATACCAATATTCTACAAATATCTTATAATTCAAATAATTATATAAAAATTTAAATAAAACAGATCTTAATAAATATTAATCTTATTACATTAGTTAACTGATTTTAGATTCAAATTATGATTTTTGCTATAATCTTATGTATTTTTACAATAAGTCTTAAATCTAAAGCTTTTTATAATAAAAATAAAACATTTGATTCAATTTTGAAAGATTTTAATGGATTGAATGCATTGGTGAGAGCACTGCTTAATAAAGCATATCATTACTTGACCCGGACTTTGGTTTTTTGATTTTGCTGAGATTCTTTATACTAAATGCATAGAAATAATAACTCAAATAAGAAATTACGGAATTTCAAGAATAATTTCAAAACATACATGAGATCATGAATATACATGTAATGATTGCGAATCGAGATGAGAGACCCGCACAAGAATTTCTGAAACACTCGGTCGCGCTCAATGACGGCGCACCGGTAGTCCTCATTGTGCGGGTATTTGACAACTTTGGTCATGAGCTCAGCTCTGGTGGCATAATAAGAGCAGATCTCACGCAGGCGTTTGTGGACATCATTCTCGGCGCCGATGATAGTGTCGATGCATTCCTGTTGTATTTGAACCCCGAAATTGTTTCCGTCTTCGATCTGAGGTATCATTAGATTAATGCCAACACTCAGTGTAAGCGTGTGTTCAATCAATTCCCACATTTGGGGCCTCAATAAAGCAATCATTTCGCGTAAATACGGATTACTCTCGACGACAACCAATGATTGCGAAGAGCTTTTGTCGCAATCGCTCTCTGGCTTCACATCAATGCCATTCACATCGACTCGAGTGGACGTCTCATCCAAATGGGAATTCAGTTGATTGCTTGACAGCGACTGACCATTTGCTGATTGACTGCTCACATCGAGCGCCTCCGGAATATGGATGCCTTCCGGAGACACATCAAAGTCTCCCAAAAACTTCTCATTTTTCAGCAGTTCTTCCAATTCGACAATCTTTTGCGGAAATTTCTCCAAAACCAGAGTTTCTGCGATTTTCTTGGTTTTGCTTTTGAAAGACTCGATGGTATCCACACATGTCTTCATCTCTTGTCCGAGGATTCAATGATTTTGCTTCTGCTTTAAAACCCGTCTCAACGAAACACCGACTGCTCTAACGTTTCCAATGTTTCAAATTATCTATTGTTGTCTCGAACCGAACCAAACATGTCTTTTGCTGCATAACATTGTTTGATAACAATTTGTTCATTTCATTACCATTTTTAATACTATGGTAATAAAATGTCACAAATGTTAAGAGATGCTTGTACAATAAATTTTATAAACAAAACTTAAAGCTTTTTAGAACATTTGGACTTACAGTTAGACAATATCCCTTTCAATATTAATTTTTTCCTAAGTTTCAATGATAGTTATTAAATAATTGAACTTTAAATTATCTAAAGAAAATTTATTTTACTGTATAATGTTACTATTAAATATTTATAAATTATAGTACTCTTTGATTACCAAATTAATTACAGTATAATAAATAAATAAATAATGACTAAGGAAATTGTATCTAGAGAATTTCTATTTGTATAAAAATTAGATCATTTAATTTGTTTTCAAATCATGTCATTTGATTATAATTGTCATAATTAAATCAATATAAATAAATAGCAATTTCCCTATCAATTGATTGTTTTTTGTGATAACAAGTCATAAGTGACAAATTGTCACTGGCAATAATATCTGAAGTGTCACTGTAACAAAGTATTAGTTTTAATAGTATAGAATCTATCTAAAGTAATACAGTAGATATTATTTATTTACACAATTATTAATAGTTATGTGTATGATTCATATGCAGGATTTAAACTATTGTCTCATTGAATTTATGAATATCTACTACAGTATCAATAATTTATTTGCTATTCTTTAACGTTTCAATACAACTGATAAGATATACTAAATACTGGCAGTGGATATAAATTCGATAAAAAATATTTAATACATTATTTCAATGCATTGTTCAGTTAACACAATACAAACAGATTATATTAAAATTTACAATAAATTTAAGTTTTAAAATATGAGTGTCGACTCCTTATCACCGGCAATAAGAGTGGACCGTATGTCTGAAAATCCGAGTATTAGTGGCGAGGAGATAGACAAAGGGACGGAACAGGTCTATGACTCGAACTCTATGGTGAGCCAAAGAATGACAATCGCCGGCGGATTCCTAGACGTGGCCTTATTTGTAGCCGATGTCGAGCACTTGAAGTTCATTTTCGACACCGGGAGGGCTGACGTCCAATACTACGACCTCCTATTGGGACTACTCTTTGCATCATTAATACTTCAAGTATTGAAAGTATTTTCATTTATTATACAATATATTGATAGACAAGATATTTGATCGTTTAGATTGCGGTCGGGATTCTGTTATTTGTGGTCGGATTTAGCAAAGTGTCGGAACAGACCAAACGAGAGGCCAATTGGACTAAAATCTTGAATCAAGTAATCATTGGTTTGGTGTCATTAATAGCGGTCCTCAATATATTCGTCACCAGTTTCGGTGATAGAGGAGAGGCTATCATTCAGTACAAGTCTCGACACCATTGCACTGACCCATAATTCATAGCAAATATTATTTTGGATATTTAGCAGATATATTGGTCACCACAGTTATTAATACCTGTGCCGGTAGTTTATTATATGAACTCAATAATCATAAATACTGTATAATTGAATGCTCTTCCAGTTCTGTTTGTGGACAGACATTATTCAGACAGTATTGTGATCTAAATGTGATAACAATTCATTTTTTAAATTAATTTTAAAAATTTCTAGACAAGAAAAATATTATTTAATCTTATAATTTATCAGTCGATTAAATGAAATAAACAATGTTCACTATAACATACAAGTTCACGAAAATATCTAAACAATATTTGGATTTATTTATTATAATTTCAAAATACAATATAAATTATAATTGCTATACAAACAAATCATTTTAAGTAAAGATTGAAATGAATTAAGATTGAATTAAATAATTTTTCGCTAATTAACATAAAAGTCACACAAATTAAAGTATGGTATATAAACAAAGTATTGTAAAGGTGTCGGTGTTTGTAATAATTAATGAAATGGTTTAATATAATTAATTAGTTAATGTCTATAATAACTAATCGACTAAACAAATCAATTACTAATTGCTATTGTCTTCAGTTGTTTTCAACTTCTTTTTCTTATTGTCGGCCAAAATCTGTTCAATAGATCTCTGATCCCTTTTGTTAGCGCTCGGCACTAGTCATACAAATAATAATCATTACATTCATTAAAAATGATAAATATCTGCAATTGTGTACCGAATCCAAACTGTTTGTTAGGAGTGGTCACCTGTGCGGCACTCTTTCCCGCGTCCAAACCAATCAGTTTCTCGTACTTATCTCTAAAGTCTTTGTTGGGAACGATATCTTTATCTTTGACTGCCGCGCGATTCTGTTCCTCCAATTCCTTCCCAAGAATATCTCATTTTATTTGATAAATACCACACTTTTCACATCAAATATTACCATTTGTTTGATGAGTTCCAACTTCTTGGGGTCGTATTCCTCTCCTTTGCGCAGAGCATTCAACTCATCCTCTGATGGAGTGAACTCTTTCTTATAGACAATCGTATGTCTGTCCACGTCTTCAATGCCAAACGAGTAGGCGTTGAGTCCCGCGATGTCCGACACGTCGTGTCTGGCATTCATTTGATAGTAAAATAATTNTGATGGAGTGAACTCTTTCTTATAGACAATCGTATGTCTGTCCACGTCTTCAATGCCAAACGAGTAGGCGTTGAGTCCCGCGATGTCCGACACGTCGTGTCTGGCATTCATTTGATAGTAAAATAATTGTCATTCAAAACTGAAAGCCATAATTCAGTTTAAACTCAATTCAATCGCCTAAAGCCTCCCAAAACCCCCAAAGCCTCCCAAAGCCTCCCAAAGCCCCCCAAAAGCCCTCAAATATAGTATTAAAAATTAATTACATAATACTTCTGTGCATTTTATCCATTAATCCGAACTCCAGTTTGCTTTCCTCATCGTTTGCCATGAATTTGTTAATCTTCTCCTCTATCTGTTCCGCAAACAAGTCAATAAGACATCACTTGGGATCAGATTCACAGCACAAGTAAATCAGATGAAAATCTCTCACCTTTTGTCGAAATACTTTAATCTTATGTCTCTCCTCGTCCTGTATTTTCTTCAGTTTCTCGGCCTCTTCTGTCAAATCAATACACAAATTATCATCAAATGGTTGGTGAAGACAATCCATACTTTTAATCCTCATCTGCTGTTCGCTGGTCTGAGTCTTCGGCGGCTTTTGCATTGAACCCAATATAGAGCCCAATAAATCCATTCTTGTATTGGGATTACTGGATGTGCCGATCAGTGGATCCAATCACTCAATTGAGACAACGATTGAAATGTCTTGAAATTAAAGTCACTTTTTGTTTGTTTTGAGACAATAATGACAATCATGTGCTCAAAGATGTCACTCTTTATGGCAAATAAATAGTTTGCAAACTATTGTCAACTGACTGTACGAAGAGTTGGTGTTGTGTCCGGTGATCA